CTTAATCAGGAAGCTCCACTGAAATCTGTCCACCATGGGTGAACATGATGGTATTTGAAATACTGGTGGCATAGCTGCCAGCATCACAGCAACACACAAGTCACCACAGTTCGAAAAACTCACAGACAAGTGGTGGGAATGCTATGCTATTCCTCTGCAATTTGTAATTCTCAGCATAGTAGACCATATGATTGATTACAATTGGCCAATTCCAGTCTATTTCAGCTCACTAATGCCTAGAATATTGATCTTATGTGTTCCATTTCATTTTTTTACAACTTCCAGTTTTCTTAGTTCATTCCATGTTTTGATTATTAATGAATCTTTACAACTGTTTCTTCTCATTTTGAGTCATGCCACATTAGAAAATTAAGGTCCCCAAAGCTTTACTCCATCTACATCAGTAAGTTGTCTCTACTTTGAGAAGGCAGCTCTTCCCCAGTCATATTTTGAGTGCCTTATAGCTGTGGTGGCCTAAGGCATTTGACTGCTACCCAGAAGGTTGATGGTTCAAACCCACCAGCTGCTCCGTGAAAGGAAGATGGAACAATCTACTTCTGTAAAATTTATCACCTCAGAAACCCAATACGGGTCACTATGAGTTGGAATTGCCTCAATGGCAGTTAGTTTTTTTCCCCCCCCCAGGTCCAACCTGAGGGGCTCATCTTCTAGCACTACATCAGAAAATGTTTCACTGCTGTTCATAAAATTTATAGTGACCAATTTTTTCAGAGGTGAATCCCCAAGTCCTTCTTCCTAGTTTATTTATTTATTTATTTATAGACCTAAAAATAATGTTCATTGCTGCCGTATTCACAACAGCAAACAAATGGAAAGAAGCAGAGTGCCCATCAAGAGACGAATGGATAAACAAATTGTGGTATATACATGCAATACCATAAAGAATAAGGACAGATCTCCATATTATAATATGGATGGACCTAGAGGGCATAATGATATGTAAAATAAATCAAACATATAAGGACAAATATTGTATGATCCCTCTTTTATAAGAAGATCAGAATAGATAAACACTTATTGGTGGTTATCAGAGAGAGGAAGGGGGAGGGGAAAGTATGCTTTAGATCACAGAGACTTCTTATTTTTGGTGATGGGAAAAGTGGCACCAATTTGGAATATAGTGAGAACAGCACGAAGTAAAAACAAATGTTTGAGCACATAAGGATAGGTATAGGTATACTGGTAGATAGGCAGGTACAGGTGTATACAGAGTTGAGAACAGAAATATCTACAGGTATGTAAATACAAATAAGTGGGTGAAGGCACCTATATTCAATGAAGGCACCAATACTTCTCAGACACAACCAACCACCTTGCAAGAATTATTTTCTGGGTTAATTGGCACAAATCATGATCTGTATCTTAGGGAAGGGAGTATTATCTGGGGTCCTAAAAACTTGTTAATGAAAAAGAAAGAAGGCAACCAAAAGCTCAGAGAAGTAACAAGTCTACATGAGACCAGAAGAACTAGATGGTGCCCAGCTGCCACCACTGACCATTCTAACTGAAGGTCATAATAGATGGTCCTGTATAGAATGGGGGAAAAATGTGGAGTACACAAAATTATTTCTACCTTTTTTTTTTTTAAAGCCAGAAAAACTCAAACAGTAGAGAACAGAGGACTCCCTGGGACTATCATGGTGAAACACTCTTTAAGCTACAGTTGAGCCTATCCCCTGAGATCACCATTTAGCAAAATAAGCAGAGTGGCACACAAAATAAAGGATATTACCTGTAAGAACAGTGATCTACTTAAAAACCATCTGTATGAGACCAAAAAGTCAACAGTTATTCTAAAGCAATGATGACAAGAGAAGGAGGCATAGAAACTAGAGTAATGGAAATGGAACAAACAGAACCCAAAAAGAATGCTGACACATTATGATAAATGGAAGTAATGTCACTGAAAATGTGTGCAGAAGCTGTCAAAGGGAACCTAACTTGCTATGCAACTTTTCATCAAAAACTCATTATTATTTTTTTAAAAAAAGAATATCAACTTTCAGATTTTAAGTAATTATTTAAGGATTAAAATATTGATGGCATTAACTGGAATTCTAGATGGCCCAAGGGACAAGTAAGCAAATTTAAATTGTAGCAATGAAGAACTCAATCTTGGAAGAATAATCTGCACAGCATCAAAAGATCAATATTACATAACTTCATACAATAAAGTTTCCAGGAGAAGAGCTGGGTTTAGATTATGAACGGAGAACTGTAAAAAGGATTAAACACATGAACCTATGGCTTCAACAACTATGTTTCAGAGGGTATGTTTTACCTGCCTTGATTGTTGTTTTATTACTTCACATCAACTATTATAATAAATCTGTCCAGGAAGGAGTGCTGCCAGAACGCTCCTTGAAAGCCAGAATGGTCAGACTTTGTCTCACCTACTTTGGTTGTGTTGTTGGAAGGGATTGTTGCCTGGAGAATATCATGCTTGGTAAAGCAGAGGATCAGCAAAAAACGGGGAAGGGCCTCAAGACGGATTGACACAGTGGCTGCAACGATGCACTCAAGTATAGCAAGGTCTGTGAAGATGGTGCACAACCGGGCACTGTTTTGTTCTGTTGTCCACAGGGTCACTATGAGTTGGAGCTGACTCGACAGCACCTAACAACATCATCATCATCTAACAGGTAAAGCTAAACCAGCATCAAACTTGAGATTTCTACACGGGCCCAGCACACTCCAGGGTGGTTTAACACTTCAAGAAGTTTAAAATTTTAAAAAAAGTTACCTTTAATTTTGCTTCCTTTTCCTGCACAATGGTATGGAGTATTGTGAGTACAGTTAAAGAGAAGAGAAGTAGGATCATCGGGGGCCATATCTGACCAAGGAATGGAAGAAAGTTGTCAGTAACGAAGGCTGGAAACGGAAATCTTTTTGCATAAACGTCAACGCTATTAAAAAGCCTTTGTGCACTGTCGTTTGCATGGTAGTGTATGATGGCTTTGTCCACCGCATTTTGCACAGCCAAGAATCCTTCTCTAATATATCCTGAATGAGAAAACAAAAAGTATCAAGTAAACAAATCAAGCAATATCACATGGTGCAATTCAACTGGCAAAATCGAACCATTGGTCAATGCTTCTGAATACTGAACAATTAGGATAATGAGATATTGCTATCTCCTCCAGTGCTAGTCACAGACCTCTCACCATCATCATCACCATTACCATCATTGTCATTATCATAGCTGGGAACTTACTACTGACTTTGTTTCCAATTACAAACATTTCTCCAAACTCTGTGTTTAGTAAAATATCTGATTACTATACTCAAGTTTTATCAAAGGAATGCTGCTGTTATGGTTGTAAGCCATCAAGTCAATGCAGATGCACAGCAACTCTATATGAGAGTAGAACTGCTCCACAGGGTTTTCTAAGCTATAATCTTTATGTGAACAGATCACCAAGTTATCAAAGAAATAGAATGGTTTTCATTAATTCAGTGTTCTTGTTACCTCGGGCCGCTCTGACAAGAATATACCACAAATGGGATGGCCTTAACAAACAGGATTTTATTCTCTTACAGTTTAAAGGCTTTAAGTCCAAGTTCAAAGTTCCAGGCTCTAGGGGCTAGGTGAAAGCCCCTCAGCCTTGGACTTCAGCTCTGCTTCCAGCTAC